TCGTTACTTAGCAAAACCAACTAAAGCTCATTGGAACTTGGTAAAACGGATTAAACGATATGTCAAACGAACATTTAATTATGGCTTGTATTTTAATCATAATACACAACTGTCATTGTGTTTTGTCCTCTTATGAAACTATGTTCTAGTCTATACATAGGTACTATTATCTTATGTATTTTACATTTAATTTTTTTTAATATTTTATATAAAAAGTTATAATTACAAAGAATGTATTTAGTTTTAATTGTTACAAGTTTATAGGTTTATGTTGAATTACATACAGTACCTATACCTATTTCTTACATACGTTGTTTTTTTATTTTTTAACTCAACAAGTGATTTATATTTATTTTTTTGTTACTTATGATAACTATGTTAAATAAATACTATTATTTTACATTTCTTTTTTTATTAATATTTTATATAAAAAGTTATAATTACAAAGAATGTATTTAGTTTTAATTGTTACAAGTTTATAGGTTTATGACGGATAACATACAGTATACCTATAACTTACATAAATTGTTTTTTATTTTTTAACTCGACAAGTGATTTATATTTTAGATTCTGAGCGGAGCGATGAATGTATTGGTTTTACAATGATGTGTGTTTTTTTTTTTTTTTTTTTATATTTTTGTGTCTGTCATCACGTTTTAGGACAGTAAAAATGCTTGGATTTTCTTCATCAGTAGCTTTTCTGATAGGAAAGTGAATCTAGTTGGTACTTTGGGGGGTCAAAAGTATAAATTTCCCAGTAGTTTTCACAAGCGCCGGGAAAAACAACATAAAAATTAAGGAAAAACGGGAATTTTTACGCAAAATTGGTTTTCCAAAAAATCGATTTTGGTTATTGGTGTAACTCTAAAACAAATGAACGTATATACATGAAATTTTCACTGGTTGTTTATATTTGCATTTTCTATACACGATAACATTTTCAAAAAATTTTGATTTATTTTGAACTGTTTAGGGACATTTTCATTTTTCATTTTTTTTTAGTTTTTTTTCTAGAAATATCAATAAAATTTTATTTGTTGGTTAAAAAAACTGGAAAATTTAATAGAAGACTCCTAGTATATTGTTTCAAAGGCAGATGAAAAATATTAAAAATCGTTAGTCACAGTTTTTTTTTATAAGCATTTAAAGTTCAAAAAGGTGGGCAAGTGGGTGTCGCTCTGCTGTACAGTAGGTTACAAGTGGGTCACTGTATAATGGATGGTATTAAATTTGAATTCAATGATCTAATATCATTGTATAAGAAAAACGATTCTGAGCGGTGACGGTATGTCAGTCTAGTATAAGACATATTATATACATATCTATGGTATTAAACAAAAAATTGACCTATAATAGGTACCTATAATAAATTCCAAATTAATCATATCACAATATCCATTAGATACTTATAACGCGTTATACATCAACAAAAACCGTGATACTATCATAGATATATAATAGTACACTTTAGAAGTTTCAAGTACCCACGAATAATATTATTCAATCACAACAAAATAACTAAAATAGTAATTCTAGGTTTTTTAATATGTAATTTCGTCCAAATTTGAAATTAAAATGTCTGTAAAAAATAAGTGTGTTTATATATTTTTTAGATTTTTTGGTTACAGTATGAATTATTTAAGAGAATCTTTGTTTTAAATTTTCAACTCTTAGTTATAAAAACTGAACATTTTATAATTTTTTAATTCCAACGATTGATAATTTTCGAGATTTTGATAAATTTTGTCAAAATTCCAACTTTAAATGCTTATAAAAAAAAATCGTGCCTATGTATTTTTAATATTTTTCAACTGATATTGTAACAATATATCAGGAGCCTTGTATTAAATTTTTACACTTTTTGGCCCAACAGATAAAACTTTATTGATATTTATAGAAAAAAAAACTAAAAAAAATTGAAAGCTGTAAATGTCCATAAACAGCTCAAAAAGAGTCAAAATATTTTCAAAATTGTATGGTGTATAGGAAATGATAATATAAACATTCAGTGAAATTTTCATGTATCTACAGTTATTCGTTTTTGAATTACAACAAAATAAGGAAATCGCTACATGAGAAATCGAGTGAACATCCAATGTTGTAAAAATTTGAATTTCAAACGCTCATAAAAATTTAATTTGACATTCCGGTAGAGATTTTTTTATTGATAAAGGTAGACAAACTTATGAGTAATCTTATATTACATTTTCAAATCTTAGATTTAAAAAGAAAAATTTTTACGAATTCTTAACTCAAAATAATTTGCTAATTTTCGTGATTTTTCCATATTTTGTCAATTTTTGAACTTTAAATGCTTATAAAAAAAAATTGTGACTAAGGATTTTTAATATTTTTCATCTGCCTTTGAAACAACATATTAGGAGCCTTCTATTAAATTTTCAAGCTTTCGCAACCAACAAATAAAATTTTATTGATATTTCTAGAAAAAAAACTAAAAAAAAATGAAAAATGAAAATGTCCCTAAACAGTTCAAAATAAATCAAAATATTTTGAAAATGTTATCGTGTTTAGAAAATGCAAATATAAACAACCAGTGAAAATTTCATGTATTTACGGTCATTTGTTTTAAAGTTACACCAAAATCCAAATTTGATTTTTTGGAAAATCGATTTTGCGTAAAAATTCCCGTTTTTCCTTAATTTTTATGTTGTTTTTCCCGGCGCTTGTGAAAACTACTGGGACTTCACTTTCCTATCAGAAAAGGTACTATTGAAGAAAATCGAAGCACTTTTACTGTCCCAAAACGTGATGACAGACACAAAAATATAAATAAAAATATATATAAAAATATAAATAAAAATATAAAAACATACATCATTGTAAAACCAATACATTCATCGCTCCGCTCAGAATCTAAAATTGACAAAATATGGAAAAATCACGAAAATTAGCAAATTATTTTGAGTTAAGAATTCGCAAAAATTTTTCTTTTTAAATCTAAGATTTGAAAATGTAATACAAGATTACTCATAAGTTTGTCTACCTTTATCAATAAAAAAATCTCTACCGGACAGTCAAATTAAATTTTTATGAGCGTTTGAAATTCAAATTTTTACAACATTGGATGTTCACTCGATTTCTTATGTAGCGATTTCCTTATTTTGTTGTAATTCATAAACGAATAACTATAGATATATGATAATTTCACTGAATGTTTATATTAGCATTTCCTATACACCATACAATTTTGAAAATATTTTGACTCTTTTTGAGCTGTTTTTTGACCCCCCAAAGTACCAACTAGATTCACTTTCCTATCAGAAAAGGTACTATTGAAGAAAATCGAAGCACTTTTACTGTCCCAAAACGTGATGACAGACACAAAAATATAAATAAAAATATATATAAAAATATAAATAAAAATATAAAAACATACATCATTGTAAAACCAATACATTCATCGCTCCGCTCAGAATCTAAAATTGACAAAATATGGAAAAATCACGAAAATTAGCAAATTATTTTGAGTTAAGAATTCGCAAAAATTTTTCTTTTTAAATCTAAGATTTGAAAATGTAATACAAGATTACTCATAAGTTTGTCTACCTTTATCAATAAAAAAATCTCTACCGGACAGTCAAATTAAATTTTTATGAGCGTTTGAAATTCAAATTTTTACAACATTGGATGTTCACTCGATTTCTCATGTAGCGATTTCCTTATTTTGTTGTAATTCATAAACGAATAACTATAGATATATGATAATTTCACTGAATGTTTATATTAGCATTTCCTATACACCATACAATTTTGAAAATATTTTGACTCTTTTTGAGCTGTTTACGGACATTTTCAGTTTTCAATTTTTTTAGTTTTTTTTTTTATAATTGTCAATAAAATTTTATTTGGTGGGCCAAAAAGTCTGAAAATTTAATACAAGCTTTCTTATATATTGTTACAATATCAGTTGAAAAATTTTAAAAATACATAGGCACGATTTTTTTTTATAAGCATTTAAAGTTGGAATTTCGACAAAATTTATCAAAATCGCGAAAATAATCAATCGTTGGAATTAAAAAATTATAAAATGTTCAGTTTTTATAACTAAGAGTTGAAAATTTAAAACAAAGATTCTCTTAAATAATTCATACTGTAACCAAAAAATCTAAAAAATATATAAACACACTTATTTTTTACAGACATTTTAATTTCAAGTTTAGACAAAATTTCATATTTAAACCAAGAATTACGATTTTAGTTATTTTGTTGTCATTGTATAATATTATTCGTGGGTACTTGAAATTTCTAAAGTAATCTACTATATATCTATGATAGTATCAGGGTTTGTTGTTGGTGTATAACGCGTTATAAGTACCTAATGGATATTGTGATATGATTAATTTTGGAATTCATTATAGGTCAATTTTGTTTAATACCATAGATATGTATATAATATGTCTTATACCTAGAAGGACATACCGTCTCCGCTCAGAATCGTTTTTCTTATACAATGATATTATATCATTGAATTCAAATTTAATACCATCCATTATATAATGACCCACTTGTAACCTACTGTACAGCAGAGCGACACCCACTTGCCCACCTTTTTTTTTGTTGTTATGTATGATAACTATGTTAAATAAATACTATTATTTTACATTTCTTTTTAATAATATTTTATTTCAAAAGTAATAATTGTAGGGCATGATTTATTAATTAAAAAAAGTTTTTCGTCATACCTATGTAGGTAGGTACCTTAAAAATTTAAATTGTAATAATGAGTAGGTGGTATAAGACTCAAAATGTTGAATAGTAAATGAGACATTTTTTTATGATGAACAATCATATTGTGTTCAACAGCTCTTTATGGCATTTAAATACTTTATCTTCACTATATTTATAGCTATTTTTATTTCATACTAAATCAACTTTAAGGTTCTTGGTTGGTACAAACTATGAGTAGATTATAAACGTATTGGTGTATGATTATCAATAACTATCAATTACTAAAAAAAAAAAATGTATAATGCTGTTGTTTATACAATACTTACAGTTAGGTAATCCTTTTTCAAAACTTTAAAAATTGCATCACAAGTCTCTGGTATTATTTCGCATAAGCTGCTAGCTGATATGGCAGTTGAACATTTTAGTCTTTGGTAAGTCATACCAGTAGCTAAAAATGTTAGTGTTGCTAACAATCTTTGTTCTGGAGGAATACTTTCCCTCATGATGGTATCCTCTTTTTGTATTAATGGTCCAATTAAACCTAGGTAGATAATTATACATTTTATTGAATTATTGAACAACACTAAAATGTAAAAAAAAAAAAATTAGATAATATTATATTATACTTACCTAGTAAGAAATCAAATGTTGTTCCATCAATTCTTAAATAATTTTTAAAATCTTCAGGATTATTATTTCTAACTTCACTAATTAATGGTAAGTGACCAAATTTTGTCTTATCCGACAGCCAACTCTTCATCCAAATTGATCTTGGAGATCGTGCTTTTACCATATTCATATGTATATAGTAAACAGCAGCATATCCTAGTAGTTGTTTTTTAGATTCTGAGCGGAGCGATGAATGTATTGGTTTTACAATGATATATGTTTTTTTTTATATTTTTATATTTTTGTGTCTGTCATCACGTTTTAGGACAGTAAAAGTGCTTGGATTTTCTTCATCAGTAGCTTTTCTGATAGGAAAGTGAATCTAGTTGGTACTTTGGGGGGTCAAAAGTATAAATTTCCCAGTAGTTTTCATAAGCGCCGGGAAAAAAAAACATAAAAATTAAGGAAAAACGGGAATTTTTACGCAAAATTGGTTTTCCAAAAAATCGATTTTGGTTATTGGTGTAACTCTAAAACAAATGAACGTATATACATGAAATTTTCACTGGTTGTTTATATTTGCATTTTATATACACGATAACCTTTTCAAAATATTTTGATTTATTTTGAACTGTTTAGGGACATTTTCATTTTCCATTTTTTTTTTAGTTTTTTTTCTAAAAATATCAATAAAATTTTATTTGATGGTTGCGAAAGCTTGAAAATTTAATAGAAGGCTCCTAATATATTGTTTCAAAGGCAGATGAAAAATATTAAAAATCCTTAGTCACAATTTTTTTTTATAAGCATTTAAAGTTCAAAAATTGACAAAATATGGAAAAATCACGAAAATTAGCAAATTATTTTGAGTTAAGAATTCCTAAAAATTTTTCTTTTTAAATCTAAGATTTGAAAATGAAACACAAGATTCCTTATAAGATTATCTACCTTTATCAATAAAAAAATCTCTACCGGACAGTCAAGTTAAATTTTTATGAGCGATTGAAATTCAAATTTTTACAACATTGGATTTTCACTCGATTACTCATGTAGCGATTTCCTTATTTTGTTGCAATTCAAAAACGAAAAACTGTAGATACATGAAAATTTCACTGAATGTTTAAATTAGCATTTTCTATACACCATACAATTTTGAAAATATTTTGACTCTTTTTGAGCTGTTTATGGACATTTACAGCTTTCAATTTTTTTTAGTTTTTTTTTCTATAAATATCAATAAAGTTTTATCTGTTGGGCCAAAAAGTGTAAAAATGTAATACAAGGCTCCTGATATATTGTTACAATAGCAGTTGAAAAATATTAAAAATACATAGGCACAGTTTTTTTTTATAAGCATTTAAAGATCAAATTTTGACAAAATTTATCAAAATCTCGAAAATTATCAATCATTGTAATTAATAAATTATAAAATGTTCAGTTTTTATAGCTAAGGATTACAAATTCAACACAAAGGTTCTCATAAATAGTTCATACTATAACCAAAAAATCTAAAAAATATATGAACACACTTATTTTTTACAGTCATTTTAAATTCAAATTTGGACGAAATTACATATTAAAAAACCTAGAATAACTATTTTAGTTATTTTGTTGTGATTGAATAATATTATTCGTGGGTACTTGAAACTTCTAAAGTGTACTATTATATATCTGTGATAGTATCATGGTTTTTGTTGATGTATAACGCGTTACCGGTGCCTAATGGATATTGTGATATGATTAATTTGGAATTTAATATAGGTACCTATTATAGGTCAATTTTTTGTTTAATACCATAGATATGTATATAATATGTCTTATACATAGACTGACTACATACCGTCTCCGCTCAGAATCGTTTTTCTTATACAATTATATTATATCGTTGAATTCAAATTTAATATCATCCATTATACAGTGACCCACTTGTAACCTACTGTACAGCAGAGCGACACCCACTTGCCCACCTTTTTCTTCTTAAAGAGGACATTTTAAGTAAGTACGATAAACACGTTTTTTGCAAATATTAGTAGTGTCAGGTGCTGTGGTACGTGTTAACTGTAGTTGTTCGAACGGCGGAGTGGTCAAAGTTTTAAAATGACTAGAGGACATGATAGAGCGTGTACAATTGTTTGTAAATACTGTTTACACGCACAGTTTTGTCAGCTCGCGTTCCAAATGATCACTCCAACCCGCGTGATGGAATTTGTTCATTTAAATTAGCAAATGATTGGCATGTACAATCTACCGCGTGGAAAAACTTGCACGGTCCAATCACGCGTGATAGTCATTTGGTTAATTTTTAAATACCAAATGATGGAACGTCCCGTTCCATCCTTTTAATATCACGTATGATGGAACGTCGAGTTCCAAAACTGTCCTTAATCCTGTTGGTCTAAACGCAGCTGATGGAACAGAGGAACAGATTGCGGACATTCTAACCAAGCCTTTGGTTAAGGAACGATTCGAGAAGTTGCGGTCAGCCATAGGAGTGACTATAATTAAAGAAATTATTAATTGAGGGAGGGTGTTGAAATATACAATTAATATTAGTATTCAAACCATGTAAACACACGTGCGTGTACAATGTCGTTTTCTAATAGATACTTATGAAATTACGATATAGCTGTGTAACACCTTTACTATCGCTTTCTATATTATATACGGATGGCCTCGATTGTTCATATAAATAGGGCCTTTGATGTATGTAATAATCACTAGCACATACGCTGTCATACCGAGTGTACGCGGTGTGTGTGTATAGTCACAGGTTAATTGTCCAGTTCGTTATTATATATTATACTTTACATAATCATATTGTCTTGTTATTATTTATTATATTAATCCTAACATCATTAGTCCGGCAAGCTTCACTTTCAACACTAATAATACGAGTAATTATTATAAAAAACATATTATTATAATAATTGATGATAGATAATTATATTATAAACAATGTGTTTTTTTTTTTTCAAAAATCGATTCTGTGTACCGTCATACTATATAACAGAAAAATAAATTACTTATAGTTTAGTCACTTACAAATTGTATGCTACAACCTATTTAATATAAATTAATTAAAAAACATTGTTAGACATTTTGGCCGACACACCGCGTCTTGTATACCTACATTGGATTCAAATTGAACACATTCATTACAGTGACCTATTCGAGGTCCACTCGGTTGCTGAATATTTTTTGATTTAATCAACTTCGAGGTTCTTTATATAATTAAATGTGATTTAAAGTGAACACATTCACTATTGGGGAAAGAACTTCCTAAATCATCTACACATAGTCTTCATTCCTTGAAGACATTTTGCCTGTTCTAGGATTTCTATGCACTTTAATTTTTCTAATATTAAAAAAAAAACGAATACTTTTTAATTAACTAGTCATTCTGTCATATTATATATAGGCTACTTTTCTTTTTTCTAGCTCATTTTTGAGCACTATCTAAATTAACAAAATATGTAGTTATCTTAAAATTTTCAAATAATTTTTAGAATTAAAGAGGGGGGAGCACAAAGCAAAAAAAAACTGCTACAGTTTTATCTTTTATTATTTGTTAAACGCAAAAAAAAATAAGATACAAATTATAACATATATATTGTCAATGTGAAACCAATTAAAAAGAGCACCTGTATGCAATTTTTCAACAGCTGTATGCTGATTATTATTGTAAAAATAAACTCCGAAACATGTTTGGGTACAAAGAGGTATTTTTATTTTGGAATTGAGACAACGATGGGGACAACTTCCCAGTAACAGGTTTAGTTACACATTTTTTCAGATACCAAAAATGAATACAACGTTTGGGTACATCATATTTTTAAAATACTATCACGTTTGGGTACCAACTACCAATACGTTTAGCTACATATTTTTTTCTATTTTACTTTTTAGAGTCTATTACAGTTCCCCAGTAGACCCCACGGGGAGGTTGGATCTTATAATGGCTGCATACGAATTGCGTCCCGCTTCAAAAATTCCTTCCAAATTGCGTCCCAGGTTTTTTAGGGGGTCATACTAATTGCGTCCCAGGTTTTTAGGGGGTCATACTAATTGCGTCCCGAATATTTTTTTTTACTTTTATAGGTACCAATTGAGTATATTATAAAAACTAAATAATATTTCCCTTCCCATTTGTATACAGACTTAGGACTGTCTGTAGTAATAGTTACTACTACAGCCTACAGGTAGGTTAAAAATATTGTTTTTGCTTAATATATTATTTTTGTATTTTGTCATAAAATTGTAACATAAAAAAATATTATCGTTATTGGTGAAAAATATATTGTTTTTGTAATTTTAATTTTATAAAAATATTATAGTATTAATTATTAAATATTATACCGGTACAAATTTAAAAGATAACTTTTTTATGAATTCAAACCTACTAATTCTTTTTGATTGAAAATCTGCCATTGCTTGTTTTAAAAATTGTTCTTTATTAATTATCGAAGTTGTGCGGTTGTTTAAGTGAATGCTACGTTGTTTTATATAAATATCAGTTTGTAACCTCTTCATAGTATCGATAAATTGAAAAATGTTTGGATGTGCATTATAAAACATCGCGTTGAGCTTAGAATGAAAATCTTCACAACTATTTGTAGTTCTCATAGTAGTAGCCGAGTATTTTGCCCATAATGAAGGCGGGAAACTAGATTCTGGTAGTATATATGTTTCTAATATATAATCAGTAAATATATCAATTTTTTCATCTAACGGTTTGATAGGTATTAAATCGTCTGTGAAACAGTTGATCACTTCGTCAGGATGAAGAAACGGTAATTCAAAAAAATATTTCAAGTATTTACTTGATTCGCAGTCAATTTTATATTCAGAACTTAGGCCAATTGATTGTATTTTCCTATACCAGCTTTGGCCCAAATGAAATCGGCATCCCTTCAGAGTTATTGAAGGCCAAACTGATAAAATAGCCAAATGTATTGCTTTTTCAAAATCTGCAAACACTCTTTTTGGAGAAAATATAATATTGATTTTATTGCATTCAGACAAAATGTGCAAAAATGCCTTTTAGTAGGTTTTTAATTCCTTATCAGGTAGTAGAAAAAATAATAGTGGTATATATTTACCATTTTGCAAGCCATGAACTGTAAAGATTTGAGTAAAAAGTCTTGGGCAACTTTTGAAAGTTCCGTCAACAAAAATTGTATCAACATTGCTTAAAAACATTAAGTTACTTTTACAAGAAAATAATAAGATATTCGATTCCTTATCATTTACCAACAAAAAGTTTTCACTACGATTGGTTAATAAGAAATCTCTCATATTGTCTAATGAAGTATGCAATTCCTCCAAATTTTTTGGTAATTTTGGCAAAATAGACGATCGTGCAACATGCATATTTTTTCTGATTAATTGTAAATCATATGTAGTTAAAGTATCTACATCTTGTGTAAGTAATTCAAGATTAATGATTTTACTTGGTTTTTCACAAATATCATCTATAGCTTTTCGTTTTAATTTATTACTCACGATTTGACGGTTCAATATTAAGTTTTCTTCATCATGCCTATGATCAAGAACTGTTTTGATTACTTTATTATCGGAGTTCAAATGAATATAAGCTGTACCTACAAGTTTTTTTACAACAACACCACCGTTCTAAATTATTTTTTAAGTATTTGTGGAAGCGAAATTTATATACACCAATCACAAATAAATCCCATGGTTTTTCGCTAAACATAGTTTTAATTTCAGACGCCATAGTTATTCAAAGTTAAAAACTTGGTTTTTAGTAAAAACTAACACGTGATAATAAGTAAAACGTTTACACTGCACTGCGACAATAATTGTGTCTACAGAACGTAACTGACTAGAAAATTATCAAAGTTATAACGTAATCGTTTTTATTAAATCTATAATAAATTGATAATAACCAATAATTTCGCCTTTTAAGATATCACAGGTAATGGGGACGCAATTCAGACGTGCTCCAGAAAAACCCGGGACGCAATTAGTATTATACCTTTTTATACCTTTTTATACGGGACGCATTTCGTAAGCAGCGCTTATAATTGTTTCCTAAATTTTTAATATTATATTATTATTATAATATTATATTAAATCATTAGGTCATTACAAAAATACTAAATCAACTTAATTCAAAAATCGTGTTTAATTTTAGTTACTGTTATCTCGTTTATTTTTAAATTTAATTTTTTTTTCCGATATAAAGTTGACCGATTACATATAAATATTCCTTAATATTACTGTCAATAATGCAAGATTATGTTGGCATGGCCCATGGTTTTTACCATAGCCTACAATACCAGCTCGTATTGTAATATCAGGCCCTGCAATCGTTTCGATATTTATAATTATTATATATTAATGATTATTACTTAATTATTAAATGTATAAATATAAAATAAATAATAAGACTAAATTTAGGACATATAATAAAAATAACAATAAAAAGCGGGGAAGTGGATGTAGCTCTGTTGTACAGTAGGTTACAAGTAGGTCAATATATTATGGATTGTATTAAACTTGAATTCAACGATATAATATCATTGTATAAGAAAAACGATTCTGAGCGGAGACGGTTTGTCAGTCTTGATATTTTATATTGTTACTAGCTGATCCCGTGCACTTCGTTTAATATTCGGTGTATGGTGTTCAAAATTTATCTTAACTTTTCTGTTGGCTGGAATAAAAATTCTGATCCTCAGCAGTATATTATCAGGTAGGCAAACTACCTGCGGTAGATCGCGGACCCCGTGCTGTTTGTACGTAACTTTATAATTTAACTCTAAGTATCAAAGTTATACCAAGTATGTCACTGAACTCCTCCTAAACGGCTGGACTAATTGTGAATGCCGAGTCTGTCGACCAATATTTCTTCCTCATCCACGAAGACGTTGCATTGTTTTATGTACGTAACTTATATTTGTGTATAATACACTCAATATTTACGTAATTGCGATACATATAATATCAAAACACAGCATACAAAAATATTAAATGCATTGCACTGATTTCACGGCAAAAACCCATGGCAACCATTAATAAACAAAAATGTCCACCGTAAATCTCTAAATCCCCGTTTGAGCACATCCCCTGGTTAGAGCTAGGGGGATAAATTGTGAATCTAAACCACCCAAACGCATACAAAAAAATTCATTCAAATCGGTCCAACCGTTTAGGAGGAGTTCAGTCACAACACACGTACAGTAGAATTATAGGTATACTAGCTGATCCCGTGCACTTCGTTTCCCGTTAAATGTACCAACTCTATATGACTCAAACATTGTTCAATGCGTTATTTAATATTCGGTGTATGATGTTCTAGATTTATCTTAACTTTTCTGTTGCCCGGAATAAAAATTCTGTTTCGCAGCAGTATATTATCAGGTAGGCAATCTACCTGTGGTAGATCGCGGACCCCGTGCTGTTTGTACGTAAGTGTATGATTCAACTCAAAAAGTACCAAAGTTATACCAAGGTTGACGTTTTTACTTAATTCCACATACCTATAAATCCTAACCTGACCTAACCGTACTAAAATCCGATGAATAAAAAAAACCAAATTTAACCCTTTTTAAATTAGCGTATCTTCTTCCCATAGGTCTAATCTACACACCATCATTAATTTATATATATTTATATATATATATATATTGACAAAAAATAATAATCCAAATCAACAAACATGCCTGATTAACCAATAGCAACCAATATAATATAATACACCATAGAGTAAATAAAGACAACGGTATCGAGTTCAAATCCCAGACATCAATAAATAGTTATTGCAGTTTTTCTAATTATTCAGTTGACTTTTTAAAAATTTTCCTTCGTAAAACCTTCACCTATTAATTACGAACATCTTAAAAAAAAATGAGACAAATCGGTCCAGCTGTTCTCTAATATTTTTTTTTCTATTTTTATCGATATTAATCGATTTCAAGCCCTGCATTATCGATATTTGTATTATTATTTATATTTTTATTTTTATCTGCTAGAGGGCGCCACCGGTGTAACTCAGTTTTTGTCTCCAAATCTCTAATTCACATGAGTTAGGTCCATAATTTATGCTATAAACCCGCTCACCGACATTCTCTATCATTTAAAAAAAAATTGAGCAAAATCGGCCCAGCCGTTCTCAACTGATGCTATTTCGAATTTTTGTCTCCATTTTTATATATAAAGAAGAAGATTATATAAAGATTATTTATTATATCCTGTAAGTTGAATTAATATTATAATTTTTTATTCGTTTCTATGGTGAAAAACAAAGCATTAGAAATTAAAATCCTATTTTTAGTGGTTTTAGTAATTTTTCGGTGGTTTTTCCAGTCGCATTAAATAACTATTGAAAAAATCCAATTTTTTAAAAGATGAGGTACTTACTATATTATGTTAAATTCGAAGTACTCCTTCTGGTAAACATTTTGTATATAGGATAAAAAAAAATAAACACCATTGTAAAACCACTAGCTTCCTCGCTCCGCTCAGAATCTAAAATACTAATAATATATGTAGGTATACTATATAAATATCTATATACATTGAACTAACTTGAAGTATAATATATCAAACCACACTTTGTTTCACAGTTCACACTAATTATTTAATAGATAAAAATAAATAATCATCGAATTATATCATTGATATTTTTTTTCTCTTGGGGTGTGTCATAAACATAATTCGTACAAATTGTTCAGCGTTAAACCCTCTCTCAGGAAATTTCCCTTAGATAATTTTTAATGATTAAAAACCTCCCCTAAAAGAGTTGGGAAAAATATGTTTTTTATCTGTTAGGTGTAGTGACAAAACTATATTGATTATTCCGTTACCATGGTAAATAATTATAACAATTTTAAAAATGTAAATTTGGCCCATTATAATTATTCATGGTACATGTGTTGAGAGAATACATAATTTAATTAAAATTTTATTTCGTTAACTTTTTCAAAACATAAAATTCAACAACTTAACGATGCCCGATCACGTTATTAAACCTAAATCTAAAAGGCCCGTTTCTTCGGTTAAAAGTGAGTAGGTACCTGAAACAGGCATTAACGATCTAAAATTACATTTTAATTAAATTGTCATTTTAGAACAGGTATCTGCACCGATCCGACCCACAATGAAAATACTCACAAAGAAAAAAAACACATATACCGAGGAAAAAAGTTATATTTGTAGCGTGTCTTCAAATTCACTAGGGAGTCATAAGTATGATAAGATTCCAGGATCAAATCGTCCACTGACGTCATCGATTCCGAGGTCATCTCAAAGTGAACTTAAGAAATATTTCATCGACAGGTCTGACAAGTTGGTAAATATACATGTTATATACTAGGTACCTAATTAGTACCTACCTGTATTATTAATTAACGAAACGTAAGTAAAAAAATAAAAATTCATAATAATAGGTATAACGTTTAAGAAACTCATGTAATAGGTAGTATATAGGTACGTACCTACCAATTAATTGTGTATACGTAATATATATGCTTAAGTTTTTTATTTTAATTCTTAAGACGAAAAAAAGCTACCAAACATTATATAAAGAACTCGAAGAGCAACACAAGGATGTAACAATTGAATTGGAACAAACTAAATTTATGGCAGAATCTCTTCAAGCGCAGTTGTATAAAGTTAAACATGATAAAGAAATTCAGACGTGTGGAATTAGTTTAGATCAATTAGAAAATAATTTGGAACATTTAAAAACTAATTTAAAACAACAAGCAATTAATTTAGAACAACAAGCAATTAATTTAGAACAACAAGAAATTAGTTTGAAAAATATGACCAATGAAAAAACATTGTTGACTCTGGAACTAGGTTTGTAAAAAAAAAAACTAAATAATAATACTATAAGTATATTAGAAAAACAAAACGTAATTTAGGTGAAAAAAATGAAAAACTATTGACTATGGTTGATCAAACCTCGACATTAAATTCAAAAATAGAGATTTTAAACAATACAGTAGATGATTTAAAAAAGACAGACTCTGAAAAAACCACAAGAATTGAAAATTTGTTCAAGGAAAGAAATAAGTTAAAAAATGATTTTATTGAGCTTTTGAGGGAGAAGGATTTGCTTCAAGAAGAGATAATTGTACTTAAGAATAAGTAAAATATCTAGAAGTTATAATAATATCATATTTTATTAATTTACATAAAATTATAATAGATATACAGAAACTAATCAAAAGTTGCAAGAATTGAGATCCGAAGTCGGAAAAAAGAGATACGAATTTGTGCAACGTTCTATGGGATTAAGTGAGCAATCAGACTTAAATATTAAACAGCAAAAACAAATAAGACTCATGTGAGATTAATTATTTTGACGTTATAGCTATTATACAGTATTGATAATTTAATGTGTCAAATGTGTATTTGTTAATTTTAGGGAAGATATAACTTTGGAACTAGAATTGATGGTCAAACGTTTGGTATGAGTGAAAAACATTTATCAGAAATTTTCGATAATTTAAATTAATGTTTCATTTTATGAATAATGTATAACTATACTATAATATATAAACCTAATAAATATAACTTTTTCTGACTTGCAGACACTTGAAAACCAGGACTATATTATCACGATCGACCGTTTAAAAGAGGATGGTGTTGAGTTGAAAAATGAAATAAAACAGTGGGAAACCAGGGCTGGTTGTTGGATTAATGCACATGTTCGAGAAGAATTTGAATCAAAAATTGAGAATCTTGAAAACGAAAACCAAAGATTAAATGTTAAAAACTTACAACTGACAGACAACTACAACAAAATAATTTCTGAAAAATGGTGAGACACAGACAGTGCATTATATAGGAATTTTGTTTTTTCGTTTCAATTTGGTGTCTACCTATATCTATTATTTATGCACGAGACATAATATTTACCTAATATAGTAATATAGATATTTGTTAATTTATTTCAATCACGTTCAAAGATTATTATTATTATTATTATTATTATTATTTTTAATAAATGATCCTGACGTTTGTGTCAACAGCGAACAAATATCTGAAAAAGAAAGAATTGCAGAGATGAAACAAAAAACAATTGAACAAATGACGGAAATAATGAATTTAATGAGGAAAACCCATGTTCATAACATCGATGACGATCAAATACGAGCACTGAGTTAGTTTGCTTGGTATGTAGGTACGTAAAAACGAGTCATTGTGTTTACCCACCGAAGCTCAACATAATGACAATGGCATTACAATGATAATGTAAATTATATAAAATATAATACAAGGCTTCAAAGTTATCGGAGTTTTTGGTTCCAAGTTTTTATTAATAAATATGGTGTTTAAGACATTTTTCAAAATTTTTAAAATGTATAAAAATGATTGAAGTTTAATATTTCTATCGGTCTTTAGTGTTCATCGAATTTTACTACCTATTATCACATTTTTTTTAAAGAGTAAATTCATTTCGAAAGTTTAAAACAAGGATATTTAAAAATTACTATTGCAGCAAATAAAAATATCAATAATAGAGTAGGTAGGTACCCTAACAATATTAGTTTTGTAAAAAATGTACTTTACGGTGTATAATTAAAACGTAAATTTTAAACTACAAAATAATTTACAGACTTTCATCATTTTGAAAAATGTCTCCTATAATTTAAACTTCAAATTGTGAGTGTACTTTTGGTAAACATCTTAAGAGAAGATGTGTTATAAATTGTAGGTATAAAAATTTTAAGATTTGTAACAATATGACCATACATTTCTGAACTAAATTATTTACATATATACATTTTATTATGCCTATAAAATATTTAGTGAAAATTTCAGGTAACTACGGTAATTCAATTTTGAATTACTACAAACAACAAATTGTATAGAAAACAGCATGTTGTACTTGAAAATTTATATTCTGTTTTTTCCAGATTATTTTAAAAGTACTTAGTCTTATTTTTAACCCCCGATGCACAGTGGTTCAAACTCAATAATAGTTGGCCATAAGTGGTTTTTGAAATATAAAAAAAATTAAAAACTATTATATAAAAAACATACTTTATAATTTCTATGCCTCTTTATTTATTCAAAAATGCATAATTTAATCAAAAAAGGTCACTTTTTAATTCTTCAAATTAATATATGAATATGAAAAAAGAATTCTTTTTACTCATAAAATGTTTGTAATTTTGATAATATTGGTTTTTATGTTCTACGAAATACTTTAAAAATACAATTAATATCAGTTTTTTTTTACATATTTGTATAGAGACTATCTTCATTATTGACCATTGTAGAAAATATATTTTATCTGTACGATTAATAATTGAATGGATAATAAATTAATATTTGTTATATCTTTAGTTATATGCTTAATAACTTGTTTTTTAGATTCTGAGTGAAACGATGAATGTATTGATTTTACAATGTGTGTTTATTTTTAAATTTTTATATTTTTTCTTAATTTTTTAATTTTTGTGTCTTTCATCATTAGCATTTCCTATACACCATCCAATTTTGAAAATATTTTGACTCTTTTTGAGCTGTTTACGGACATGTTCAGTTTTGAATTTTTTTAGTTTTTTTTCTATAAATATCAATAAAGTTCTATCTGTTGGGCCAAAAAGTGTAAAAATGTAATGCAAGGCTCCTGATATATTGTTACATTATCGGTTGAAAAATATTAAAAAAGTCGCTCCACTGTACAGTAGGTTACAAGTGGGTCAATGTACTATGGATTGTATTAAACTTGAATTCAATAATGATATAATATCATTGTATAAGAAAAACGATTCTGAGCGAAAACGGTCAGTCAGCCTAATATGATATTACCAAGTATATTTGATGATATTATTGTGAATAAAGTAATTTATATATTTACCTATTTACATGGACTATTGTTTTAAATTTGCAATCCTTACCTAAAAAAGTTGAACATTTTATACATTTTTAACAACAAAATAATTATTAAATTTTAAGTTTTATAAATTTTGTCAAAATTCGAACTTTAAATTCTTATAAAAAAAATGATGACTATGTATTTTTAATATTTTTCAACTGCTATTGTTACAATATATGAAGAGACTTGCATTAAATTTTCACAGATGTTTACCCAACAAATAAAATTGTATTGTTATTTATAGTATAAAAACTAAGAAAATTGAAAACTGGCAATGTCCGTAAACAGCTCAAAAAGAAACAAAATATTTTCAAATTTGTTTTAGTGTATAGAAAATGAAAATACAAACATTCAGTAAAATTTTCATGTATCTACAGTTATTCATTTTTGAAAAACAATAAAATAACGGCAACGCTACATGAAAAATCAAGTGAATATCCAATATTGCAAAAATATGAACTTCAAACGCTCAATAAATTAAATTTGAGTTTCTTGTAGACGTTTTTTTTTGATAAAGGTAGACAAACTTATGAGGGATCTTGAATTACATTTTCAAATCTAAGATTTAAAAAGAAAAATTTTTATGAATTCTTAACTAAAAATAATTTGCTGTTTTTCGTGATTTTTCCGTATTTCGTCAAAATTTGAACTTTAAATGCTTATAAAAAAAAAACTGTGACCAAGGATTTTTAATCTTTTTCAACTACTATTGTACAATATAGTAGGAGCCTTTTATTAAACTTTCAAGCTGTTTTACCCAACAAATAAAGTTTTATTGACATTTTATTTACAGTCATAGAAAAAAAGACCAATAAAATTGGAAACTGGAAATGTTCCTTAACAGTTCAAAACAAATCAAAATATTTTGGAAATTTTATCGTGTATAGAAAATGCAAATATAATTTACCAGTAAAATGTCATGTATATTCGTTCATTTGTTTTAGAGTTTCACTAAAAACCAAAATCGATTTTGTGGAAACCCGAATTCTCGTTTTTTCTTAATTTTTATGTTGTTTTTCCGGTCGCTTTTGAAAACTATTTGGAATTTTAAAATATGACCTCCCAAAGGCACCAACTACTCGTAGATTCACTTTCCCAGCGAACAACATAGGTACTGTTGAAGAAAATCTAAGCAGTTTTACTACCCTAAACCGTGATGACAAACTAAAAAAAAAAAAACACACATCATTGTAAAATTAATACATTCATCGATTCACTCAGAATCTAAAATCATTGGCACAATTTTCTTTTATAAGTATTTAAAGTTCAAATTTTGACAAAATTTATCACATTTAAAATTTAATAATAATTTATATAAATATTAAAATATAATTATTATAATAGTAATTAAAATGTATATATTTTTTTTTTTACAAAAACTCTTGGGATGAAAAAATGTTGTGTACAAAATAGTTTTAAATATTAGTTACTAATTGTATACATTGTTTCGGAAAATTGTACTACCATGTTGAGTTTTAATCATCTTTTTTAGATTCTGAGTGAAACGATGAATGTATTGATTTTACAATGATGTATGTTTTTTTATTTTTTTTTGTGTCTGTCATCACTTTTTAGGACAGTAAAAGTGCTTGGATTTTCTTCAACAGTAGCTTTTGTGATAGGAAAGTGAATCTAGTTGGTACTTTGGGGGGTCAAAAGTAAAAATTTCTCAGTAGTTTTCACAAGCGCCGGGAAAAACAACATAAAAATTAAGGAAAAACTGAAATTTTTACGATTTTGGTTTTTGGTGTAACTCTAAAACAAATTTTTAGTTTTTTTTCTAAAAATATCAATAAAATTTTATTTGTGGGTTGCGAAAGCTTGAAAATTTAACAGAAGAATCCTACTATATTGTTTCAAAGGCAGATGAAAAATATTAAAAATCCTTAGTCACAATTTTTTTTTATAAGCATTTGAAGTTCAAAAATTGACAAAATATGGAAAAATCACGAAAATTAGCAAATTATTATGACTTAAGAATTCGTAAAAATTTTTCTTTTTAAATCTAAGATTTTAAAATGTAATACAAGATTCCTTATAAGATTATCTACCTTTATCAAAAAAAAAATGTCTATAAGAAAGTCAAATTAAATTTTTATGAGCGTTTGAAATTCAAATTTTTACAACATTGGATATTCACTCGATTTCTCATATAGCGATTTCCTTATTTTGTTGTAATTCAAAAACGAATAACTGTAGATACATGGAAATTTCACTGAATGATTAAATTAGCATTTATTATACACCATAAAATTTTGAAAATATTTTGACTCTTTTTGAGCTATTTACGGACATTTAGCGCTTTCAATTTTCTTTAGTTTTTTTTTCTATAAATATCAATTAAATTTTATCTGTTGGGCCAAAAAGTATAAAAATTTAATACAAGGCTCCTGATATATTTTTTTTATAAGCATTTAAAGATCAAATTTTGACAAAATTTATCAAAATCTCGAAAATTATCAATCATTGTAATTAATAAATTATAAAATGTTCAGTTTTTATAGCTAACGATTGCAAATTTAAAACAAAGGTTCTCATAAATAGTTCATACTGTAACCAAAAAATCTAAAAAATATATGAACACAGTTATTTTTACAGACATTTTAAATTCAAATTTGGACGAAATTACATATTAAAAAACCTAGAATAACTATTTCAGTTATTTTGGTTGTGATTGAATAATATTATTTGTAGGTACTTGAAACTTCTAAAGTGTACTATTATATTATATCTATGATAGTATCACGGTTTTCGTTGATGTATAACGCGTTATAAGTACCTAATGGATATTGTGATATGATTATTTTGGAATTTATTATAGGTACCTATTATAGGTCAAATTTTGGTTTAGTACCATAGATATGTATATAATATGTCTTATATCTAGACTGACATACCGTCTCCTCTCAGAATCGTTTTTCTTATACAATGATATTATATCGTTGAATTCAAATTTAATATCATCCATTATACAGTGACCACTTGTAACCTAATGTACAGCAGAGCGACACCCACTTGCCCACCTTTTTTAATTTTGAACCTCTGTGCGATGTAGAGATCCAATTTTAAAAATGAGTAAACTAATTCAATATTATGCGTTTGAATGTCCAACGTCTATATTCTTACATATTATATTATATTCCACTGTATCCCAATACCAATCTATTTTTCTATAATTATTACGACTCACTCTTCCGTTTTTAGTGTTCCGTACGTAAAACGGGACCCTATATTACTAAGGCTTCGTTGTCCGTCCGTCCGTCTGTAACCAGGCTGTATC